AAAAAAAAAAAAAAAAAAAAAAAAAAAAAAAAAAAAAAAAAAAAAAAAAAAAAAAAAAAAAAAACTATTTATTTTTTGGCTTCAATTTTATTAAATTAAATGAAAAAATTTTAAATTTGTATTTGACAATTATAACGCTTGATTTGGGGATAGCCATTACAATCGAGGTCAAGTGCCACGCTCGGGTTGCAGTCAATGCAACCACGACCTAACTTGCCCGAGATTTTTTTTAAAATTATGGGTAGTTTGGAGTGGATTTGTATTAATTTTATTTTTTATTTAAAAATAGAAAATAATATGACGTTTTTATTTTTTATTTTTTAATTTGGGACATTTATTTTTTAATTATTTGAAAAAGAAGAGCCTTTAAAAAGTAGGGCAGTGACCGTAAAGGAAAAAAGGGAGGGCAGAGAAAAGGGCAAAAAAGGAATTGAGCCGTTAAGAGTGAATGGTGACCGACAGTCACTTTAATTAATTCTCTGCAAACAACGCAGAGTTGCCTTCTTCTTCAGCCTTCCATCGTAGCCTCGGTAGCCAGTCCCTCGCCTGCTCCAGTATCCAATGCATTTTTTTTTTTAATTATTTTTTTAAAAAATTATTATAAATCTTATTAATTTCAATGTGAGTATAGTATTATTTATTATATTATATGTTTAATTTATTTAATTATCTCATTTATTAATTGGTTATTATTATTTTTTGGGAAGGCGACATATGATGGTTCTAACGAATCGTAAATTCTGGAATTAAGGTTTTGGAATTGTCTTTCGTGGAAGTTTCTAATTCCATTATTTATTATTAAAAAAAAAACAAAAAACAAATAGAATAAATTAAAAATTCCCTCCTTTTCAAACAAGCCTGAAAATAAAAAATTTATTCTCTCTCTAAGTATCCAATGCCAGCTTTGAAAATAATAATTATTTTAATCTTAATTTCAAATTTTAAAAATTAACCGCTAATTTTAAAAAATTAGGAGAGCCAAATTTACATTTTTGTCCTTGAAAGTTTCGTTAATTACTTATTATAGCTAAATGTATCTCGAAAATAAAATGATTTTTTAATTGATTATTATAAAAAAAATAATTAAAGATTTTAACAGCTTTATGAAGTAAAAACGAATAGTAAAAAAAAAAAAGAAATGTTCCATTTAAAAAGCATTGGCCTTTGTATTTTATGTTTTCTACTTCCAAAAGCCATTTCTTTTCCTAGGAAAAAGGGAAAAAAAGAAAAAGAAAAAAGTAATTTCTTTTCAAAAATATAAGGAAAAAATAGTATTAATAAAAGGAGAAAAAATTCTCTCTTGCTTTTATTTATTATTATTATTTTATTTTCACGTTGTCTAAAATAATTTCCCTCAATGTTCACAATGCTATTTACCTTTCCATAATTGAAACTATTTTTTACCCGGAAATAAACTTTTTACTTTTTACCATTTTCTCTCTCTCAATTATTTATGTAAAATCTAAAAAATTAAAATTAAAAAAAAAAATATTGATGTAAATACGATGTTTAAATAATTTATTAGTCACGAATCATTTATTTTCACTTTACCCCGATAAATTTTAAATATGAAATTTTTAGTGAGTTTTAATGACCAATCCTTGCATGAATTACTACTAACGATTCATTGAATTGATTATGAATTCCTTCAAACCCGTCAATCGGGCAAATGTGACTAGGGTAGATATCTCGTATTAAAAAAACCAGTCAATTCTTTAGGCCCGACTAACCTAATTTTTACCCACGAACGTTTGTGTGTGAATTAGTTCAATCTAAACTTCGAGATAACTGAACCCAACTCCAATTCTGAGTTGACTTTTTTCAATTCTCTCTTTTTCTCCCGTGCTGACATAGTGCCATGTAGATAAGGAAAGCCAAATACCGGTGGAGGTCCGTACCTTTTTTTTACGGCCTAAATTTCTATTTGTCAGCCTCGGAGAACTACTGCTCGGTCGAGAAGAGACGAACATGGTGAGTTTTTTTTTTTTTTTGTGGGTAATGGATCAAACCCTTTTTTTCTCCCAATTTCAGCCCACTATTCCAATTACCAAAAACCCACAACCCAACCCCCTCCTCTTAGGTCCACCATCCATTTCGTCCGCACCTTCAAGCACCGCCACCGTCGCTGCCGTCGTCTGACGATGATCGGAAAATTCCTCCGCCCGGTCCTCTCAGCTTCCCGTAAACGCAATCCCCTTTCATCACTGTTTCAATCTCTTCCCAATCCCATTCTTCCTTACAATCTCCACCGCCGTTCTCTTTGCTCGCCATCACCATCCACTGTTCTTCCTCCTCAAACCCCCGAAAATTTTGACCTCCCAATCCAAAAAGTTCGCTCCCAAACTCCTCTCGAGAAGCAATTCGAAACATGGATCCAAAAGCTCAAGCCCGGATTCTCCCCTTCCGATGTCAACGAGGCTTTGCAAGCCCAATCGGACCCCGATCTCGCCCTCGATCTCTTCCGGTGGACGGCTCAACAGCGCGGCTATAAACACAACGATTTAACCTATCTAACAATCATTAAGATCCTAATTTGCCGCCGGAAATACCACCTCGCCGAAACCCTAGTCGAAGAGGTACTTGCTGGTGCTTGTGAAATGAGTGTGCCGCTTTACAATTCTGTGATTAGGTTTTGCTGTGGTCGGAAGTTTCTGTTTAATCGAGCTTTTGATGTGTACAAGAAAATGTGGAAATCTGATGACTGCAAACCTAACCTTGAAACTTATGCTATGCTGTTCAATACACTGCTTAGGAGATTCAATAAGTTGAATGTATGTTATGTGTATTTACATTCGGTTCGATCGTTAACGAAGCAAATGAAATCCTCTGGTGTGATTCCTGATACGTTTGTGTTGAACATGATCATCAAAGCTTTTTCTAAGTGTCTTGAAGTCGACGAAGCGATTCGAGTTTTTCGGGAAATGGGGTTGTATGGTTGTGAACCAAATGCATATACATATGGTTACATTGCAAAAGGGTTGTGTGAGAAAGGAAGAGTTGGACAAGGATTGGAATTTTACAAGGAAATGAGAGTTAAAGGTCTGTTCCCTAGCAGCAGTACTTATATGATTCTCATTTGTAGTCTAGCTATGGAATGCCGATTCGACGAAGCCATTGAGGTTTGCTTTGACATGTTGAGTACTTCCCGGGCACCGGATATGCTTACTTACAGAACCCTCTTGGAAGGATTGTGTCGGGAAGGACGGGATAGTGACGCGTTTGATTTGCTTGATGAGTTGAAGAAGAGGGATAAACTGATGAATGAGAAGACATTCAATATTCTGTTAAATGGGCTGCACATTGTTGGTAGAGAGTAGATTATGAGGATTAACTCCTTTGTTTTGCTGGACTAGATTGATCGATAGCTCGCTCCTTTGCAGATTAACCGTTAGGATTAGATCTCGAGCATGCCTTCTGAATGCTGGAATGGATTTCGGGACTGAACCTTCAAGATTACAGGATCTATGAGCGTTTTTAGAAGCAAAACGTTCAAGAGAGCGCCTTCATTGTTCTAGCTTGATTGGACTACGCTTCGACTTGATCGGTTATGGATGCTTGTAGAACTCTTAAGCTCTGGTGGCTGGATGTTTCGTAATGGAAGGTTCACTCGGCACTTCGAAGGCAAGTTATTTTCGTGTTCTTGTATTCTAGTATCATATGCTCTTTCTTCTGAACTATAGAAAGCTAAATCAAATTGAACCAAACCGAACTCGGGCGCTGTTTCGTTTGCTATCTGAGTTCAGTTTGATAATTACTGAAACAGTCCCGCGCCGTGTTTAGCTCACGACGCTAGAAAACTTCTGTATTCTTGAAGCTTAGTCTCGATAGAGAATCGAACCGGACCGAGTTCTGATGATATCTCCCAGTAGACTTCTCCACATAGAGACATAAAAATTGATTCTTGATTCTTAGCTCTTTTATTTCAGACTGCTGAATTTGATGTATGGTGAATCCATAGCCAAAGAATGAACCATATTCAAAATATAGATGATTGTCATTTGTTCTTATGTATGATATAATTTTAAAAAAAATTTAAACACAAGACACTCGATCAATGATTTTCAAGAATCAACCCGCCACCGCCGTATGCCGCACGATGCCGGCATGTCGACTGGAGCCTTAATTTCGGAGCCTCAAGCGTCGAGCGTCGGTCCACTGCTCCACCATCGGAACACCCATGGTTGGAACCTCAAGCGTCGAGTTTCAGCTGCAGTGCATCACGAAGCAAAGGTGCTCACTCATTGAGCCCCAATAATGTAATTAGTCGGTGCGAGTATTACGAACACGTGACACAGTAGAAAAATTATGTCTGTATGTTGAGATATGGTATGCTACAAGAGTGGAATGGCTTGTCCTTTCAATCTCGACCATATAATATCTATTATGGGAGCTCGAGAAAATGCATCTCAAGTGCATATCATTTCTTTATATATATATATATATCTTCTACAAGAACTCAGTTCAAAATCTTTTACAATGGCATTTACACAAGTAGAAATTGTGGAACCACACAATTTCTAGAGACAAAACAAATTAAAAAGCTACCTGATCATCCAGTTTTTACCCCTCCATGAAGATATTATCCACTTTCTTCATCAGATGAACTGTATTTCTGCACTTTTTGATGAGCTTGAAATGCTTGTGGTATTGTTGGATTCACTGGAACTGGAAATTTATGTGCCGAACTCACGATCGTTCGCTCGTTTACCATCCCGACTTCCTTGCAGACTCCGTCCAGGATCGTTAGGAAATCTCTCACCACCATGAAGATTCTAAATGGATGAGCTTCTTCTTTGGCAGAGTTGCCATGGAAGTACTCTGTGATCTCCTTTACTAGAGATAATGCAACGCTTTCATGAGCTTGAATTCTGATGATTTCCACTTCTGCCATGTTCAAGAATCTATTCATCGACTCGGAGAACTTTTCCGTGCTTTGATTTGTCCCTGCTGCTTCGTTTAAACATATAGCCTCCCTGATGTTGTCGAGTCCTCTAGAAAGCTTGATGACCTCCCCGCTGAGCACATCGGAATCCATTGACGCTGCTTTCTTCACATTGGCGAGCTCCGAGCTGAGACCTGAAACAACTTGCAGGCCGATTTTCCTGCATTTTACATCGTCGCTCAGGTTGGAGTTTGGAGGTTGACTCGTGCTACAAAGACGAGCTCCTTCACTTCTGATGATTTCTTGTACAACAAAATGTAGGAGAGTGGTTCTTCCATCTGCACCCTTGACATCGACGAGCTTTAGAAGTGTGTCGAGTTTGAAGGCTTGTGCCTCCCCACGATTCGTGCCAACGTTCATGCGATTCCCCGTTTTGAGCACAGCTTCCAAGAGTTTCAAGAACATCCTGCTATTCCTCAATTCCTCGCAGGCAGTCTGCAATTTCATAATACTTTTTAGCCATGTATCCAACAATCATAAGAGCATCACACAATTTTCTTTACGGGGGGTGACGGGATTCTAGTACCTCGAGATTTTCAAACGACTTCTTTAAGTACTCGATCTCGGACTCGAAGTTTGCCATGTAAAGCATCGCATCCACCCTTTTAAACGCAAAAGGAACATCAAGAACTGCCTTCAAAAATTTCTCAGCAGGGCCAAGCTTGGTAGGTGAGACATCCTTGGATGCCTTTAGCTTACGTTCTTCTTCTTTTGTTGGAGCCATCTTCAATAAACTCTCAAGTAGGTCCAATCCAAGTGCATCAGCATTACCTGCATCCATAGCTCAAGATGTTATCATCATTTTCTGATCAGGACGGGACAGAATCGTGTTATTAATCGAAGCCCGGAATAGACACCATTGCCTACTTAAGCTTTGTTCGAGGTTCTGTTTCTAAACCCGATTTGATAACGTTGCTCGATAACGTAAACATCCAAAGTCGACATGTTCTTCTAAAAGCTGGCTTCAATATTCAAAACAAAGGAAGATCTGAAGAACATGCAGGTTTTCTATAGAAAAGGAAGAGTAAACGACGATCCGTTTTTGAAATTATTCGTGCGATAGATGGCGTAACGATGCAGTTGCAGCTTATTCTTCGTATTATGAACAAGAAATCATGCCCAGATCATCATGTACAGCAAAGATTTTCTAGAGCAAAATGAACCTTTACCATGGAGCTAAGAAATGTATGTTATACCTTCTAAAAGAGCTTCACAAACTTCTTCTATGGTCACGTTAAGTGCCCGTAGCGCAATGGCGATGTTCTGTGACTTTTTGGGATCGAGAACTCCGATCTCTTGGTTAGGTGTAGGAAGCACGGGGCGTGGAGTTGTTTCCTTCGAGTTGGAAGTGTTCACAACAAACAGAGTTTCGATCATTTCCTCGTTCACTCTGCAACGAAAATCGATTCTAGTAAGCGTTCGAATCGACAATTAAAGATACAATCAATCTAACAAACAATCTCAAGACTTGAAGATGACTTCACTTACTTAAAAGAGCTTGATCTGAGCTGATCCCACACCATCTCGCGATCGGAGCTCGCCCTCACTTTGTCCCAATGCAATGGCTTCAACTTGGGCTTCGGAGTGTCTTCAGATGATTCACCATTGCAGGAAGGCAGCTGAACTGGTGAGACATTTTTCACAGTCTCTATTATAAATGGCCTTAATGGAGGCACTAATGGAGGAGGCGCCATTGGAATGGATTGGCCTACTGGTGTTGAAGGTGAAATGGGCATTTCACAACGTATAGGTGGAGGAGGTGCTGCAAGTGGTGGTGGCGGCGGTGGCGGTGGCGGAGGAGCGGCAGGGATGCCCGAAGGAGATTGCAGTCGATCCACATCAGTAGAATTGATGTCTGCAGAAGAAGATTGAAGATCTTGATCGAAGTGGTCGAAAGTTCTCCTTGATGAATCTGAATCACTCATCAGAATTCTCTCCGGTGATGGTGGTGACGGTGACGACCTGTTTTGATCGGAAATAATGGATGTTCTTGATGGAGATGAGTCCAGAACTACTCGCTCCGGTGATGATGAAGGTGAAGATGAAGTAAATGAGTAAGGAAGTTGCTTAAATTTCGCATCAGAATCCGAGTCGCGAACGTTTGAAACTGTCGGCGATTGAATTTGAATTCTCCCCAAAATTCCATCGGAAAGTGGAGATAAACAAGGAGAAGATGGAAACTGATCAGGATCTGAACTATGTGATTGTCTTGGAGATTGTTCTTCGTGATTATTGTTCGTTTCATCATGATTATCCAAATCCTTGTTGGTTGCTGAAATTGGTAACGTCGCACTGTGAACTGAAGCATTAGAAAATCTCCGGGAGGAAGATGCGGTGGAGCTCTTCTCCGGAGCTTTCTCCGTCGATAAACGCAATGGAGAAGGGCAGTGAGATTTGCCGCCATCGTCCGATTCCCCTCCGCCGTGGGAAAGAGGCGGCGTCAATGGTGGCGAAAGCTGCTCCGTCGCTACAGTAGCAGAAACAGAGAAATGAGAAGAGTCATTTTGAACAGATCTTCTAGGGCTCAAACTCGCCGGTGGAGATAGAGAAAGACTCTTAGAACGTGATCTCGCCGGCGAAACCGAACCGCTGGATGTGGAATACGAAGTGGAGCTCGAATCGCTGGTTTTGCCAAGCAAATCTTCAGCCGCCATTGTTGCGAGCACTCTTCGAGATCCCGAGCCAATCGCGCCGAGAGAACCTTTAGGAGAATAAAATTCCTCCTCCTCTTCATCTCCCATCGATCTCTCATCTCCATTTCCACCGCTTTGCTTCTCATTCGACCGACCGAAGTTCAGCGGCGGAAGCGGATGAAGCTCCGGCGAATCCAACGGCCTAGGATCAGCCACACGACCTCCCCCAACGGAACGATCGTTGATTCCTCTCGAGTTCACAAGAGTACCCAAATACAGAAACTCAGAGCTAGAAGCAGAAGGATGTCTCAACTTAGGAATTCCATTACCGACTTCAACACTCGGAACCGGACACAACCGGCTACTACTTTCGGATCTGAACGTCTTATCCTCAGCCAACCCACGGCGGCTACGCCGCCGCCAGTACAAAAACCCAGCAATGCAAACAACCAAAACAACAGAAACAACCGCAGCAACAACCAATGGAACAACCTTCTTAGAACTGGAACCAGACGGAGACGAACGAGGGAGAATCAGAGAAGAAATATTCGCCGGAAACGTTGCAATGCTCGCAGGCGTAGGCGGAGGAGGAGTTCCTGGATACGTCGGAAAGAATGGAGAGCCATCCGGAGTTGCAGGAGGGGTAGTGGAAAATGGGTATTTGGGATCCGGCGGTGGGGGTACCGGAAGCGACGGTAGCTCCGCCGGAGGCACAGAATCATACGGGAAAAAGGGCTGGTGAAGCAATCTCCGAGCAGCTGCAGAAATTTCAGAAGATTTACAAGGAGCCAGGAGAATAAAGAAGAAGAAAATGATGAAATCAAACATTGTGAAATTGTGGTTGAGAGAATTGAAGGAAGAAAGGAAGATTTGCAGTAATGGGTTACTGATTTGTGTGGGACATTTTCTTCTCTCTCTCCAAACAGAGAAAGAGAAAGAAAGTGTGAGTGATAGATAGTGTATGAAAAGGTGGAATCAAGAACAAAAACAAAAAAAAGTATTAAGAACTAGATGAGTGGGTATGGGCTCTAATGGCTATGGGTTCGTGTGGAATGGCTCGTCCAGCTAAGATGCTCTCCCCTGTTTCTCAACTATTCGATCATAGTCACTTCAAAATTAAGTATGTTAATCATGTCACGTCATGCGAGATGCAGGACAATATGAGTGCATGTGGAATGGTTCATCCCGCTAAGATTATTCTGCTCTCCACTGTCTCTTAACAATATGCACCTTTATTTTCAGTAACTCGATCATAGTCACTTCAAAGTTAAGTATGTTAGTCATGTTACGTCACACGAGATGCGGGACAATATGGGTGCGTGTGGAATGGCTCATCCCCTAAGATTTTGCTGCTCTCCACTGTCTCTTAACCATATGTATCTTTATTTTCAGTAACTGGATCGAAGTCACTTCAAAGTTAAGTATGTTAGTCATGTCATGTCATCCGAGATGCAGAACAATATTAGTCTTGTATATTAACATCATTGCGACTAATATCATATTGGTCGAGAAAATTGTAAATGAATACTAAAAAAAAAAAAGAGGGATAAATAAAATTTTAATTTATAGTGAATGATTACAAGTTGTTTAATCATCAAAAGAGGATTAAAAAGAAAGGGGGAAAAATCTCAAGTGGATGCCACTTTTTACACATTTTCAAAAAGAGTGTATTTATTATGAACTTTTTTTTTTTTTTTAATCCTTTTCGTGAATATAAAATTATAATTTCTTGGCTATAATATTATATAATATAATGGGTTGGTTTTGCTTTACTATTATTTTAATATTTTATATGTAATTTTTTTACATTTTTTAGAATTTTATTTGACATATATTTCTTGTTTTTTGAATCTCAAGTTTTTTATTATATTTTTTTTTTTAAATATTATATTATATATTATGTACCCTTTTTCCATATTACGAGAAAATAATATATATATATATATATAGGAACGATAGTGCTTGTGCTTCGAACAGGGTGCACCGACGAAAATGCTCCACCTTTCTTCTACTCGCCGTTCAACGCCGCGCCGACCACCGCCGTCGTATTCACTTTTTTATTTTACAATAAAAAAATATATATTTTTTAATAAATTTTGATTTAATCTTACATATAATTTTTATTACCTCAAAATTAGATACTTATTCTTTTTTTTTTTGTGAAAATTATTCCGCATTTGACTTTTTTTATAAATGCTTTAGATTTTTTTTTATATAAAGCATAAATTTTTTTTTGTTACATATTAATAAAAAGTCAACATTTTACCGTTGCTTCAAGGGTTCGTTTCAGTCACTTTATATTATTCTAGAGATGAATGGTAACATTGTAATTTTTGAAATAATATAATTTTTAAAAATTTAAAAGTATTATTTATAATTAAAATTTCGTTGTTGATACATTTTCCAATATGTTCAAGTCTACTTACGGGTCAACACATTAAATCAAAATGCTTGTTGTTATTATTGTCATTATTACTTATTTAGTATAAAGTATTATGTCATGTCGTACTATGAAACCCAATTTGCAGAAATTCAGGTTGTATAAATTATTTGTCGGTGTATATGTGAGATCTCACATCGATTAGAAAGGGGAACGAAACATTTCTTATAAGAGTGTGAAAATCTCTCTCTAATAGATGCGTTTTAAAATCGTGAAGTTAGCAGCGATACGTAACAGACCAAAGCAAACAGTATCTGGGTTTGAACTATTACAATGTGTGTAAATATATATGTACTCGATATCATGATTTTGTTGGTCCACATTCTTCAACGGATATATTTCTAAATTAATCTATTTTATTCAATAATAGTTAAATCATTTTATTATTATTATTATTTGAAAGATGGGTAATTATTTTATGTTATGTGACACCCAAACTATATTATATAAAAGAAAATAAAAATAACAATAAAGTTTTAGAGAGAGAGTTGAAAAGGGTCTTCTTTTATGCGATATGGACATTTCAAGTTCTCATCTTTGCCTTTAATGCACAATATTCGTTTTGGTCATCAATATATTTCACTCTCTTTCACTATTTTTTTTTTATTTTCTATTTTATTTTCACATTTCCATCCTTTTCCCTTTTTGGAAAACTCTCAAATTAAATAAAACAAAAAAAATCATATTTTTTTCTTTCTAAAAATACATTTTTAATATTTTATTTCGTCCTAAATTTTGATACCGTTCGATTTAATCTCGATATAATCTCAAGATTAGGAGTGTTCAAATGACTGAAGAACCTAACAAATTCAGATTGTTCAACCCAAACCATAAAAATTATGCTGTTAAATTATATATATATATAATTTTAGTTTAGTTGAATTTTAGAAAAATAAAAAAATCAAGTCATTTCTTTTTTTTTTTCGAAAATAAAATTAGATGCTCAACGACCTTCAATAAAAGGGTACGTGTACCCAAAACCAACACAGGTGGGTACGTAGAGAATACCTAGGGGCGCGAGACAACTATCTCTAAGAAACTCGGCAAAATAGCTCCGTAACTTTATGAGAAGGGGTGCTCCTCACAAAAGGGGTCGTAGTAACCAAGCCGAAGTGACTATTTACCAAAAACACAGATCTCCGTAAAGTTGTAAGACCATGTATGGGAGCTGACACCTGCCTAGTATCGAAAGGTTAAGGAAGTTGGTGGCCTGATGATAGGGGAGCCGCGACCGAATCCCTGGTGAACGGCGGCTATAACTATAACAGTCCTAAGGTAGCAAAATTCCTTGTCGGGTAAGTTCCGACCTGCACGAAAGGCGTAACAATCTGTGAGAGTTGAGTTGGGTTATAACTCTATTTGCATTGCTCGTGTCACCAACTTACCCAACCAAAAATTTCGGTTTGATCTAAGAGATTTCTTGAACTCTACCCAGTATAACCCATATAACCGTACTCATTATTTATCTAAAATAAACTAAAAAATTAAAATAAATAAAGTAAATGAAAAGCATGTAATTTTATCAAAAGCACACATTAAAAAGTAAAAGATTTTATCTCACAAAAGTAAAACATCCCTTTTATTTACTCTTTTTCTCCCACCAACCATCTTTTTAATTTTAATAATTAAAGTTAGATTTATAAATTTTTTAAAATATATTTCTCTCCAAATATTTTATTAATTAATAATATTTTATAGTGACAATCAATTCATCTCTCCATATTTTATTCATTCAAATTATTTTATGAATACATAATTATCATTTAAAATGTGTTAATATTAAACCTATCTTTATATAATTGGATTTATATTTTAAAACTTTTAATATCTTAATTTCATGAAAATAAATGTTTGTATTTAAAATAATTATGTTTTTTTAATATTTTTTTAATTAGCCTTAGAAAAAGACGGACAGAAAAATAATTATAAAATTAAAGAAATTAGGAAGAAAGTACATAGACACGTGCACCGACACATAATAGAAAATATTTAATTTATATTATTTTTTAATGAGAATAAATAATATGAAAAAAAAACAAAAAATAAATCCATTATTCATTTAAATTCTAATATAACTAAATGATATGATTTTAAAAATAGCATGAAAATATGAGTTTCATTTAATAAAGTATTTTTGGAATTACAGAGTACATTTAAATATGGAAATTAATTAATTGCCCAACTGTCACAGTAAATAAGTAATTTAATTTGAGATCAATTATTTGAGTTTTAAATTTACTTTTTTTTTTTTCACTTTGGGTAATTTTAAAAAAGATTCTTATTTTCTTTTTATAATTAATAATGCATCTAAAAAAAGTCTCACATGTCAGCTGGCGGTGCTGAGCCCAACGTTCCAGCAAAGGTCAAAGGCCTGACGTTTCTCATTCAGATTCTTTCATATTCATTTAAATTCAGTATTTTATATTCATTATTAAAATTTTAATATATATATATATATAAAGGGAATTTACCTATTTTGTTTTTTTTTTCTATCGAATTTTATCGTATTCATTTCACTTTTGACTAAAATATATCTAAATAAAATATCGATTTTTTCTTGTAACTTAAGTAATATTGTAATATTTTGAGAAAGAATAAAGTATAAAAGACTCTATGATAAGACAAAAAGAAAAGAAAAGGAAAAAAAAACATTATGAAAAAAATATATATATATATATTAATTGTGAAAATAAAGTATATAATCAGGTGAAAATGATGATGAAATTGGGAAGATTAAATCAAAATATAAAGTTCGAGTAACAAAATTCTCATGATTAAAACGAACAAGTCATGCACATTATAATTTCATTAGCAATTATGACCTCAAACTTTACAAAAAGCAAATGAAATTAGGTACTCGGTGAATTAAAAATAAAGAGTTTGATTAATTAATTAATTTTTTTAATTGTTGATATCGAGTCATCGTATGTTAATTTGAGCATAAATCAATTGATCAACCAAAAAATTAGAAATTCGAATCTTTATTTTCATATGTTATCGAACTAAATAAAATTACGTGTATGTTTTGATAAATAATTGTTTCTCTATTAATATTAATTATGCAAATGTTTTTTTTTTTACTATAATAATTCATGAAACATTCTCCCCCAAACAAATGAGAATGTTATAATATTTCTTCCACCAACTTATTTTATTATCATTTTAAATGCCACAAACAAATGAAATAAAATAAAAAAATTGAATTAAACACCTATTTTTAGAATTAAATGCCGGATTTAATATATAGGGTACAAAATATAAGTTAACGTTACTCAATAATTGAGATTAAATCAATAAAATATTTAAGAATTGGAATAGAAAATTTATGATAATGAAAGTAGAAATAATAATTAAAAAAAAATGTCGTTTAATGGCAGGAACATGTCGGTGGACCTTCCATGCTTTTATTGATGAATAATTTGGTAACTATGGAAAATTATTGGGAATTTGTCGGAATTATTTTCGTCATTTTGAACTTAATTTTATGTTGAGATGATATTGGAAATCAATTTGATGGATGAGTATGCCCTACTGATGGCTCAACACACCTCCATATCTAAGCCAAACTAAATCATCTTTACACGTCATACTAGATCACCTTTACGAGTCATGAAATCCTTCTTTTCATATATCTTAGAGTTTTCGATTCTCTGGTTAGTATTATGAGATCCCACATCGGTCGGAAAAGGAGAATAAAAACCTCTCACCTAGCAAACACGTTTTATAACCTTGAGGAGAAGCATGAAAGGAAAAACCCAAAGAAGAAAATATCTGCAAGCTGTAGGTTTGAGTTGTTAAAGGTGTGATCCTTAAAATTCTTGAAACCTAGAGAAACACAAGATCCCCAGTTCCGACTCTAATTTCATTTAGCTAACAGAAAATAATCTCTCCTCACTCACTCCTTCCTTCTCCATTTAATCTCTCATCACACGGGTTAAATGAACATCTCTAGTCTATTCTCAAATAATTTTTTGTAGTCACCCTTGCTGGAGCTCATAGAGCTCATATTGGACTTCGCCATTGATCAGAACACCCAAACCGCAGACACCGGAGAAACTCGAGGAATTGAGACGAGTCTTCTGTGCTCGTTACTCTTTCCATTGACCCTGTGTCTCCGGCTGGCGAGCTGTGGAGGAGGAAGGCAATGTCGAAGTCATTCAGATAAGCATACTATAAGACAATACATAAAAAAAGGCTGAGGTTGTGGATTCATTACATGGCTGATATCTCCCATAGCCCTTCACAGCCCAATTCATTGCATGAATCAGCATATTCATATCCAGGATTTTCCAGTCTCTGACGATCATGCTATCACAATCAATCAGGGTTTTCTTCTTATCAATCAGAGATGCATATCTCCCAACCGCCTGCATGTTTGGTAGGGCACAAGTTCACAGTCTGTTCTTCATGCTTTGAAATGAAAGGTGTGGCCAATGAACCCAGTCACTAGCCGAGATAGCCATATTTTCTTACATACACCAAGCAATAGCAGTATTACCCAAAAGGAAGATGGCGACCAATCCACTGATAAAGATGTTTAAATCGACCGAGACCGAGAAATGAAGGTAATGTGATGTTTAAATCGACCGAAACCGAGAAATGAAGATGGCGACCAATCCACTGATAAAGAGAGAATTATCTAGAATTCTGAACCTATTATATCCGTCGACTCAATACTCAATATGCAAACTGTCAGACACTTTCATCAAATGAATGTAGTAGTACTGCAAAGAAGCTAATTTGCAAAGCAACAAAATGAAAATTACCAAAGTTCAGTATTCAGGAGCATCCTGAGGGTAACAGAGAATGAGTATCACCACTACATTTGACAGACGCAGGCGTTTTCTGCGTACACTCCATGCACTGAGCACTCTAAGACAACTTATCACGCACTTAAGCACATAGGCGCCTCATTCATGCAAGAGACTTGTTAAGAAAACGTCACAGCTACGTGTCACCATGGTTTTTATCCCAAACTCTGAAAGACACGATATCATCGATCAGAACGTAACAACAGATTGCCTAATCCCCAATATCATCATATCGGAGAAGAATAAAATCTTAATCCTCCAAGCTATTAGCTAGACAGATCGACTAAAATGATGGAGACAACAGCTATAGACATGTAGACACGCTGAAACAAGCTAGAGAATTTAAAGTTAAAACATAGTTCTGCCATTTTGGTGCCTTGGATAGTAGTTTGTCTTTAAGGTTAAAATATGTTCCTAATTTAAACATCCTTGAACAAAGTAATAGATAGGCCGACTAAGTATGAATAAGAAATATGAACAGGACCAGAAGTACCTGGTGTACACACAGTATGCACTAAGACAGGTCCAGCGTCATCTTGGCTACAAAGAATCAATACCTCAAGTAAGTTGGGTCACCAAGATATTCAGCAACCTGTTCTAAACGCACATTACATAATTCATGGCTATCAGCATCACGCACTACCCCTGTCTCTTTGTCAAGATCCCTCTCAACTAAACTCCCATAAACGCCCTTGTGCTTACCATACAGAACAAGAACGGGTCCCCCACGTCTGGGAAGTGCTGTCTCAAGAAGCTCTTGAGAGACCCCTTGAACAAGCTCTCTACTTTCATCAATGGATAGATCACAAATGGTGGGTCCAACTACGTCAACTATCTCTCCTTTTTTGAGATAAAACTTTCCTCCCTTGAAATCTTTGCTGATGATCCTTACACGAATGTGACTGGTAAGCCAACACAATCTAGTCCTCTTCTCTTCATCCCTTTGACCATTTTCACGCTTTTCCTCTACTCGTTCAACTTCTTCTCCGTCTCTAGCCTTTGATTTCGTCCTGAACTTTCATTTCCTCCAATTTCTTCAGGAACCTTTCCTCTTCTTTGGAACCCAATTCAGCAACATCAGTTGCATGTACTTTAACTTCGTCTCTGTTAGAAAGCTTAAGGACAAGCCATTTGAGATCCAATTTCTCTACAATTTTACCTTTCGAACCTGCATCTCTTCCACCAACAATCCTAACATGCTTCCCAATAGCCAATCCATTGCTTTCTCGATCTCTGTTTTCCTTAACTCTAGCTCCATCTCTGTTTCTCCCACGCGCTCTCCCGTTATCTTTCTCTTCCTCCTTGTTTGGAAGGCTAGCAGGCATGTCGCCAACAAATCCTAGCCCTTGCTTGTCTGTTCTTAGATTAAATTCCTTAACTTTAACATCCTCCCGGGCATTTCTCCCAATTCCCCGACCCTTCTGCCAGCCATAGCTTTCCATCAAAGCGGAACCAAAACTTTCCACAGGAACGTCCTCAAAATCCTCAAAGCCTCTATCCTCAGGCAGCCTCTTCAGGTCAGCTTTAAATTTCTCCAACATAATAACCTCCAAAGGAGCAGGCCGCGGCGGCTCCTCCGCAGATTTCGACTCATCGGCACTCTTCACATCGTCGACGGACTGCCTGACATTGAGACCGTACGACATCTTGGAATCATCGGGCGCATCTAATCCAGAGGCGGTCTCGAACTTGAGACCAGACTCGTCCGATTGACCAAGCGGAGATTCGAGATTCTTCATTCTCATCAAAGGCCTCCATTCGTTCTCAATGGCGGGAATAACCACGTTTCTGGATTTACCCCTGGTTTCGGACAAGGATTTCGAAGCATCGAATTCATTAACATACTCTTTGGAATCCCCTAAACCCCCATGATCAAGGGTTTTATCATCGAATCCCTTTGAAGCTCTGACGATATTTGGCTTAGAAGAAGACTTGGAAGGAAGAGAGTGATAACTTCATCGCTGAATCTCTCTACTGTTTCGAGTTCGAAATGGCCTAGATTTTGCAATTGCTTCAATCAAGTCACGGTTGTCTTGACTTGAACCTACAAAAAAAAAACGGAAACGCCGGTTCGGAAATTCAAGTCCCCGGTTTATTTATCATGGAAATCTCGGCTAATCTGAAGTCAACTTAGAGAAGGACAAAAATCTAAAAATTATAAAAATCAGAAACTAAGCATCTGGTTTGTTGATTCCCATGCCAAAGGCTACCTGAAATGTCAAGGCAATTCAAAGCTATTAGATCAGTTAACCACTGCAATGCCTTTCGTATCAAGATGCTAGAAAATGAAAAGCAGATGCCAAGATTGAGAATGTTCACTCTTTATAATGAATGATCTCAATGGGTTACCTAAACTGAGTTCCAGAATTTGCCTCTTCCCATGTCGTGCCCGGTGGCTGTTTCTTACATCTTCCCACATCGGGATATGGTTTGTTCTGCTTATATATTGCTCTAAATCAGTCAGATTGAACTTGTTCTTGAACTATTTAAAGGTTACTATAATAGAAGTAATCCAGATATGGGAGAGACCAGAGAAAGCGTAGATACAAACCTGCTCATACTCTTTTGGGGAAAAGCAGTATATCATCCACGACTCATTGTTAGGATAAGATTCTGGAATAAACCCAGCTATTGATCAATCACCACCGGTGAGATTCCACGTCAGTTGGAGAGGGATTAAAACCTTCCTTATACGATCGTGGAAACCTCTCCAACTGCTGTGGGATCTCACAATGGTATCATAGCTAGACATCAGGCGACGTGTCAGTGAGGAGGCTGAGCCCCAAAGGGGGTGGACACGAGGTGGTGTGCCAGCAAGAACGTTAGGTCCCGAAGGGGTGGATTGGGGGGTACCACATCGATTAGAGAGTGGAACAAAGTATCCCTTATAAGGGTGTGAAAACCTCTCCCAAACATACGCATTTTAGAACCGTGAGGCTTATGGCGATCTGTTACATTATCATTAAGAACGTAGTGCCACTCTGAGGCTTTCACTTCTCAAAACATATTAATGCACTGTATCAGCACATATTCCTTAGTAGGCTGCCTGCACCAACTGTGGAATAATTTGAGCATGTAAGCATTCTTTTCACCCCTAAAATGAGAGATGTATAAGACTCCTTCAGGTACTTTTTAAAGCATCCAAACCCATAACCTGAAAAAAGGTGTGCTTGATCAAAAGATATGGTTTGGCTTATGAAATTATTACAAGACGTGAAAGAAGGATGTTCTTATTGAAACCAATAGATTTGAATAATAGAGAAAAAATCAAGCTCATTTGCAGACCAATCCAAATATATTGTCCTGAACTCATTGACTGATAAACATTCATAGACTTGAATAATAGTGAAAAAATCAAGGCGATCTTCAATATAAGAACAATCAAATAAATAATGCAGACAGTTTCTAATTATTTGCGAAGTACAAAAATGAAATCAAGCTCACTCAAGCTCCTATAGGTGACTGAACTAACCAAGAAACTATACAGAAAATGCTCACCTCTAGTAGGATTGCACAATATGTCCAAGTGCTTTTGCCCTGGCTGATGAAATCTTCCGTCTCCTTGCAGAGTTCTAACAAAGACTGCAACTCGCAATTCAAACAATAGAAAATTTAGGCAAACATTATAAATTTAGTCATACGTTAAGAAGCTCCTATGATGCCTCTTTCGTGTTCATCCTTAGATCACAAATTACAGACAAGCTTTTGAACACAGGTAACCAGAACAGAAACTCTATAACCGAAGCCATGTGAGGAGCTCCGAGAAGTGGAGAATGGAAGCAGATTATGGGAATGCAGCTCAAGACAACAACAACCATCGATTTCCAAGACACACCTGAAGATGAACTCACGTTTACCAAATTCGAAAGGTTCTGAGCTCCGGTCCAAGAAGAATTTGCAAATGTTTCAGCCAATCCCCTTCGCCGGAAATTGGCAGCCCTACCGTCGTCGCTCTCGCCGCTCCTAATCGAGTGAGTTCGTTTCTTGGCGCGTGTGCCATTTCCCTCCTTTTTTTTTTCTTTTTTTTTATTTTCTCGGATAAAATATATTTGGGTCTAACTACAAATTTTCAATTTTATTTTTTTATGGTTATTTTCTGTCCTAATTAATTTAATAATAATAATTTTTTATGCAATAAAAACTCAACTAAACACGTATTATTTTGTTATAATTTGATGAGTGATGAGGTAATATTCTAAAAATAATTATAATAATTGACAGAGTAATATTGATTTGTCATTTTAATAAATTAAATAAATATATAAATATCTATTTGTTTCATTATGACGCAATTAATCTCCAACATTAAAAAAAAACATAATTGAAATTAAATAAATAATAGCAAAAGGGTAATATTGGAAACAAAATCATCCACTCATTTTAGGCAACATTTGGTACCTTACAAATTTGGCCACATTAAAAAAGTTGGGAAGAAGGCATGCGGAGCAGCATAGCAATCGTGCGGTGGAAAGCAAAGGATGGAAGAATCTGCGCCGTTGGTTGGCAGTCAAAAAACAGCCTCTAATTCTTATAATTAAATACTCCGTTTAATATTTTTTAATTTATCCAGCCAATGAAATGCTCAGCACGTGCGCAGAAGGCGTGGGGTTGGATTTTTTTAATTATTATTATTTATTTCGTGTCGACTTATTTTTCCTTTCCACTGTGAGTTTATTAAATTTAAAATTCACCCACTGGTCAAGATTTGGTACTTCAAAATATGCTCATTTATTATTATTATATATACACATAAAAAAACTATATGTATCATATTAAAAAAGCAATAATAATAATAATAATAATAACCAATTAATTGTAAAAAAGAGACAATTTGATTCAAAATGAATGTGAATTAAAAATGTTAATAAAATAAAATCTAATTTTTTATTTTAATTATTATTATTTAGTTCGTAACTATGTTTATTTCTATAATTAAATGATGAGTTGATTGGGTACAAATATAATTATTTTTTTAGTAATTTAATTATCATTTTTATCTACATTTTTTAATTTTGAAAATAATATATAATTATCAAACATATATTATTTTTTATTTTTTAAAGACTAAAATAATAAATAATTATGTGGCAATACCTTAAAGTTTTTGACTCTTAAAAGATGATAGTTGATTATGAATGATATTAATAATTATTAAAAAAATTACATTTTTTTTAATGAAAATTGCTTAAATTTTCAACTTTAATTATACAAAATTAACATAGAAGTCAAATGTTTCAACAAATTTTCAATAAAGGGAATAGCTAAAAGTACCATTTTACCCTTCAATAAATTTAAAAAATATATTAATAATAAATTGGGCATATGTTTCTTGTGTAGTTTATTCCATCTCTTCCAAAAAGAGAAACAAATAAAATAATTATATATATTATTTTGCAATGCGAAAAGATGGAAAGGAATGTGTACGAAATTTGTGCCTCGTTTCCAAATGTCACCACGCGTTAATGTTGGATGCCAATAATTATCTCAAAATATATATACTCAAAATGGACTTTTATGTAAATTCCTTAAAATATATTAAATATTGTAATTTTAAAATTTTGCTTACAAATTATAAATGAAATTAAAAATTAAAAATTCTAATATTTGAGAATTTAGAATCAAGTATCTCCTATCTAGTTGCGGGGGGTGTGGCCAAGAAGCTGCCAGTTGACAGCCCCCTGACATTCGGCCTTTCTTTTCTTCGCTGTGTGAATAAGGTCTTAGGATGTATGGCCATTCTGGGCGGGTCGCAATAAGTCGCTAGTCGAAAGTTTGGACCAATCTTAATTCATCACCATATTGCCTGCTTCCAATTGATGACTGGCTATTAAATAAGTGTTGACCTAAGTCCCTGTGCTGGGGCTCGGCTCCCAAACCGTATGTGAGCTGCCTTGTACCGCTCTTCCTAAGAATTGAAAGCCCCCTCCCTCTAAATAGAAAGCCTTGCCAACTATAAGAAATAAATAGTTGTGGCTATTATTAGAGAAAGAGCTTCCTTCCTCGACTCGTTTGCTCAATCAAGCTTCCTTGTTCCTTAGTGTAGTCTCAGTCCATAGTTTCAGACTCCGTTCCAACTAGCCAGTCTACTCAGTCTATATCCACAGTTGACGTGACTTCATACCGATGCGCAACTTAATTATTATTTTCATTTGTATAATTCATATTTAATTTTAAAATTTTAAATTATTCATTGTAATATATAAGTTAAAAGAAATTAGTATTGAGGTAGACGTTGATAATGACTAAAAAAAATAATTGAAAAGAAAAAAAAAATCGAATATGTAACAATTTTATTTTTAAATAATTTAATAAATTTAACAAATTATTTATTATATATTAAAATTTTGTAAGGTTTGAACTTCCTTCCATACGGTAAATGAGAAATTAATTAAAAACGTTAAAATTTGTTAACCAGACCATAATTGGTTGTATCGTCCAATTGGCCATTTCAGATTCCTATAAACCCAAGCAAACTAATTGCCATACCTCTACAAGCTTTTAAATCCACGTTCTTCTTGCTTCTTCATTTCAATCTCTCTCTCTCTCTCTCTCTCTCTCTCTCTCTCTCTCTCCTCTGTATTTTTGTGTGAATGATTTGTGTTCAAACATCGAGGTCAAGTGGATCGAGTGACGAAATATCTAAACCCTAGCCATCTCTGTACTGGAAGTTGAATGAGGAATTGAAGATTCAACAACTCCTCTGATTATATATTTGAAATAGTTTTACCGAATTTGATGAAGAGAGACGGAGCGGAAAAGGAAGCGCCGGCTTCGGCTTTGCCAGTGGATCCGAAACCTGAGCAGGCTGCAACCGCCGCACCGCCAGCGACGGAACTCGGCGAGAAGGAAGTTCAAGCTCAGTCGGCCGCTGCCGCTGCTGCTCCGTCTCACTCCGACAGCGCCAAGGAGGAACTCAGCAGTGCAGAGACTGAACCGCCAATCGTCGGCGATTCCGACCGCCAGGTAACAATCGCTACTGAAATCTTGATTTAGAAGTGAAAGAAAAGGAAACTTGCGATTTCTTGTTTTCGTTGCTTCGATTTTGTTTCTGTTCTGTGTTTTTTTTGTGATTTTGCTTCTTCTTCGCCTTCTTTGAGTTTCAACACCACCGCTAGAGAGAGAGAGAGAGAGAGAGAGAGATTGAACCTCTTGGCAGTTAGAATTGAGATTCGGAAACGATTCTCTCTCAGCGCAATAGTTATCGTTTAGGCATAGAAAATTGATACCCCTACCTTACGCCCTTCGATTTCGCTTCGATTCAAGTAGCTCATGCTTTTGAAGCCTCCTTTCTGTTTCAGCCTTTCAAATAATAATAATACTAATAATAATACTAAATATCTTATCTTAACTTTTTAAAATAACAACATTATTATTTAGCAACTATAACGTAGAAAATTATTTTATGAACCTGAACTATATTCAAATTTATGAAGAAAAACAAAATAGTTTTGCAAAATAAATTTTAATTTAACCTTCCAATTTCAAACCTCGATGTTTCAAAAAAAAAAAAAAGTTATGCATAATAAATATTGAAATTAAAATAATTATAATAATGTAGCTCTTAAAAGTAAATATTGAATCATTTATTTCAAATTATAGAGAAAATATTCAAACATTCGTGGAAATAAGAAATCAAAATGATTTGTTAAAGAATTTTCATTTTTTTCACTTAGATAATGGAAAGGTGACCTTGAAAATGATTTCCAAATTCAGGAATGGACAAAAATCAGTGGATAGAACTTAGCTATATGGTCTGAAAAGTAAAAAAGATACCAATCGTTTCTGATTTCCGTTGTTGTTGTTGTTTTGTTTTTTTTTTTACTAAAATCACTGATAGAGAAATTTAGAATATTTCCTTCCATTTACATCCACAAGTGAAATATTTTAATTTTAGAATATCAAACCTTTTTATTTTACTACGACAAGTACGGCACAAGCACCTTAACATCTAGAATATTATATGTAATTTAATAATTATATTTATAAAAATATAGTAGCTAAGTAAATTTGGAATCAACTAAGTTAATTAGTAATGAGAATATTCCATAATATATAATGTTTTATTAATATAGATGTGACATTAAGGGTCTCAAATCTAATCCTAAAGTTTAAGAAGTCCTAAAGAGGAGACAAAATAAAATGATAAAGTTATAAAGTTTATTTTGGATAGGCATTTCATAGTTGTCTTTAATATATATATATATATATATATGCACATTATTACTATTAATGACAACTTATTATGTGGTAAGATAATAAAATTTTAAAATTCAAAGTTACTGTTTGAGATGTGGTATTTTTACGGGAAAAAAATTAAAATAATAGGATATTTTATAAGGTTCACAGACCTATATAAATAAAATTTTAAAAAAATTTATAAATCATTATATTTGTAATAAACTAATAAGTTAGATAGAGGTATATGTAATAGTAAGATTATTTTTCTATCTTATTTTAAAATTTCTATTTGTAAAGGGAAAGAAAAATCTTCGTAGAAGAAGAAAGAAGCGATGGGCCCATTCTTCATAAAATTAAAATGGGCCCATTTTTCATAAAATTAAAATGGGCCCATTTTCTGACCCCGACAAAGGGGGTTATAATTCCAGTCTGTACGTCTACGTGGGCACTGGGGCCCACAATTTTGTCAAAAGTGGAACACCTTGCCAATGCAAACCCACGAATCAAATATTCGTCGTTTCAATATTGGCACACACGACTTCTTCTTTTTTTTTTTTTTTTTTTTTAATTATTTAATTTTTTAACAAAAACGAATAAAATATATACTAACTTTTTAGAAAAATATTAAATGGTAGAATTT